GGCCCCCACCCTTCTCTGGCCCAACGCCTCCATCTGTTTTTCTCCTCTTCTCCCTGGACTGGGAATTTGGGAGTAGAAAAGCCAGAGATTTAGCTCTTGTCACCTTTTTGTGATGAGAAACCAAGGCATAAGAGGTTGGGTAACTGAGCAACTTGTAGAGCAGGGATTTGATCATAAATCTTCAAGAACTGCTCTGTGGTCAGACAGGTAACAAGGTGCGCTTATATTCTGATCTCTCTTGGCAACAGTCTCTACCATAGAATGTTCCTTTTGAAAGGGATCAGCTCCTGTCTGGAGCTTCTGGTTGTAGGGCAGCTTTTCCTCTTGGTGGCAACCATCTATCGAACGAACGGTGTACTCAGTAAACCCAGGAGCAGAACCTGGCCTTCCTTTTGCTTGGTTGTCGGAGAAGCATCTATCTGCAAGGTGCGGTGACCTCCTGCCTGACAGTCTAGATCGAATGCCAACAGCTTGTCAGACAGGCTCCAGGTAGAACCTGAGATAGCTCATCTCACAAGCACAAGCACACGCACAGGGAGTGGGATCTCCCCTGGCTTCTCCAGGGGCTGCACTGGAGTTGTCCTCCAGGTGGCCATGGTGGAGGATGGGGCCAGGTCTGGGCAGCCAGCCCAGTGAGAGGAGCACCTCTAGTGCCTGTGGGGCAGAGCCTGTGGCTGCCAGGACACAGAGCACTTGCTCAAAGAAATCTGGTATCAGGCTCAGTACATGTAATACTCTTTGCTAACACCGTAACTTAAGGAATCAGCCTTCACTCTTCCTTAGTCATCGTCCAGCTTTCATGTACATGTAAAGTTACTGATAATGCTGTAGCTGGGGTCAGGCACACCTTAGGCCTCAAAAGGACATCTTTACTTTTTAGCACTCACAGTTTAAGATCAATGCTGTGAGGGTTAGCTTTTTCCCACGTTTCACAAACCTCTTGAAGTGCCCTGGCATTCTTTTTATGTTTTCACAGTGACTGCCCTAATCCTGAGCCTGGGTCATTGTGTTTCTCCTTTGACATTTTGAACTTACACGCCCTCTGCTTTCATTGTATATAGTGACAGTTCTCTTAGGGAGCCCTCTTGTGTCCTAGTGGACAGGTAGAGAGACGTCCCATCTGACTGGGATCATCTGAGCAGGGAGCTTGTCCGTGGGTACTGAGAAAGTGGTCATGTTCCTAATGCAAGTCCCTGGATTCTGACCTTTCTCCTGGGGCTGACCTGGATGCTTGGGGAGAGCTTGGAGCCAGGTGGGGGTCCTGGACAGCCCGCTGGTTATTGGAGCCTGTGATGAGGGCTCAGCGCCTTTGGAGTCCTGGCTGGGGAGGAGGAACTGGCATGCAGGTCCTGCTGCACAGTCAGGCTTGTGAGGGATGGTGGCTGGGTGAGAATCCTGGTCAGGGTCCTGTGTCAGACTGTTGTTTTCATTGAAATGCTGCAGGCTGGTAATAGCTGTTGGTCACCATTGCGTCAGCTTGCACTCGTATAAGACTGGATCTGACGTCCACCCTGTCCCTGTGACCACCTCCTGGAGGGGCTCCCTTGGGGTCACTGACCCTTCTCCCTCAATAGATGAGATGCCGTGCTCTGGCAGTTGGTGTTTTCTGGACCTCATCTGCCTTGGCAGACTCTCACAGCCAGCAGCCTTTCAGCCACTGCTGTTCTCTGTGGCCCCCTCCACCCCACCCCCGCCCCTATACGCACACGTTTCTTTGTTAACCTTCGTCAGGGGTCAGGGTCGCCAGAGGCGGGCAGCCTTGTCTTATCTCTCTCTGTGAAGAGCAGCTCTTACCTGTACCTGTCAGAGCTCCTCTGCCTGCAGCTCTCTGCAGCTGCTGCCACTGCTTCCGGAAGAGGTGCTGAAGGACTCTCTGCATCCACCATCGCTCAACGTTGGGGCTCTGTCTGGTTCCTGGTGCTGCACGGTCAGATCCTCCACTAGGGATTTGTATGTTGGTAGTGACAGGTATGGGCATCTAACTTATTTCTTCTGATGGTAACTGATCATGTCAGCAGGCCTAAATCAGAAAACCCCCTCCCACTGACTGTCCTACCACTCGCCCACACTTCCTCAGAACAGGTCCTCACCCTTGCCTGTTGTAGCCCTGGCCTCCATGAGGCAGACATGCTGTCAGAAGGGAGTGGCAGGAGCACAGTGCTGTGGTGGGGCTGTGTACCTAGAAGATGATTTGGGGTGGGGGTGGGGGCGGGCGCGGAATTTGGCAAGCGTAGGAGTGTTGCGGGCTCTTCCTGTGCAGGCAGCCTTGGTGTTATCCTCAGTGTGGAGTCCTTTGGTGCAGTGTTGTGTGTCAGAGGTGGACAGTTCGAACCCACCAGCTATACTGCAGGAGAAAGCTGTGGCAGTTTGCTTCTGTAAGAGCTGTTCTTAAGTGCCGGTGAGGCGGCTCCAGCTCTTAGCAGCCTGATGCATCACAGAGTCAGACACTGCGCTGCCTCACAATGCTTCCTGTGCTTGCGCCCATTGTTGCAACTCCATCTTGTGGAGGGCCTTCCTCTCTCACTGCCCTTCTACTTGGCCAAGCACGTCCTTCTCCAGGGACTGGTCTTCCCTGACAGGTCCAAAGTACTTGAAATGAAAGTCTTGCATCCTTGGGTCTGGCTCACCCTTAGTCTTCAGAATAACAACCTACCTTTTCAATACTCTAAAGAGGTCTTGGGCAGCAGATTTACCTAATCCAGTGTTTCTTTTGATCTCTTCATTGCTTCCACAAGCATTGATTGTGGAGCCAAGCAAAGTAAAATCCTTGACAACTTCAACCTTTTCTCCATTTATCACGATGTTATCTATTGGTCCAGTTGTGCAGATTTGGGTCTTCTTTGCGTTGAGTTGCAACCTATACTGAAGGCTGCAATCCTTGATCTTCAGCAAGTGCTTTAAGTCCTCTTCACTTTCAGCAAGCAAGGTTGCGTCGTCTGCATATCTTAGGTTTTTAATAAGCTTTTCTCCAAAGCTGATGCCGCACTCTTCTTCACATCATCCAGCTTCTCTAGTGATGTGCTCAGCATACAGATGGAACAAGTGTGGTGAGAGGAGACAACCCTGACACACACCTTTTTTTATTTTAAACTATGCAGCATGTCCTTGTTCTGTTTGCACAACGGCCTCTCGATCCATGGACAAGTTCTGTGTGAGCACAATGAAGTGTTCTGAAATTCCCATTCTTCTCAAGGTTATCCATAGTTTGTTATGATCCACCCAGTCGAATGCCTTTGCACAGTCAATAGAACACAAGTAGAGATCTTTCTGCTGTCCTCCGCTCTCAGCCAAGATTCGTCTGATGTCAGCAGTGATACCCCTTGTTCCATGTCCTCTTCTGAATCTGGCCTGAACCTCTGGCAGCTCCCTGTCAACTGTCAGTGTACTGCTACAACCGTTGTTGAATGATCTTTAACAAACATTTACTTACATGTGCTATCATTTGAGCATTCTTTTGGGTCATAAGAAGAAGGGCTCAGCGGCCCACTTTGGAGGAAGCAGCTGCTGAAAACCCTGAGCACTGTATGGAAACACTGTCAGGTGCTATAAAGATACAGCTAGGCAGCCATATGGGGCATTTCTCTGCTGCCCTGTAGGGTGGCTGTGAGTGGAGGTAAATAGCATCTAATGATAGCTTTCCTAAAACGATAGCTGTCTGGTATGAGCCCTACAGTAAGGGCATGAAGGACAAGGAGACTGTGGTCAAAGAGGATCAGAGGCATGAAAGGTCACATGTAAATAGAATGGCACCTGGCCTGCCATTGTTACACTGCTCCTGTCCTTTTGTGCTTGAGCACCAAGAGCTGAGGGTGGTAACGCTGATGGGCCGAGGAGGCACTTCCACTGCCGCTGCTTAGGATGTTTTGTTAGCCAGTGGGTAACCCACAGGGACCACACCTCTGCTCCTGAGCATGCTATCAGTGAGCTCACATGGATGTTGGCACTGACATTGGTAGTGGGTGAGCAGATTGAAGGCAGGGCCCTCGGGGGTGTGCACAGGTGCAGAGGTTTGAAAACACCTTTGACTCAGTATAGAAGATGTGACCAAAAAGCGGGTGCTCAGGGAAGACTTGGTGTTGGGGGTCTCAGAGCAGTCTGGTTTCATAGTGTAGACAGAGTTTAATATTTCTCAGTAAAACAATTTAGAAAAGATAAATCCTGTTTACCATTGCCATTGTTTCACAGATAATAATTTCTATAACTTTGAGAAGATCTATAATCTCATAGTAATGATTTAATTAGTTTCTTTTTATGATTTAATTAAAGATATATGTTTTGTAAAGATGTTATTTTGTACCAGACCCATTGCTGTCAAGGGGGTTCTAACTCACGGTGACCTGGTGCGGTGCAGACTACAGCCACCCTTAGTGTTTCCCAGTCTGTCATCCTTATAGAAGCAGGCGGGTACATCTTCTTCCCTTGCAGCAGCTGGTGGGCTCAAACCACCGGTTGGTTAACAGTTGAGTGCTTTAACCACTGTGCTAACAGGCTCTTATTTTACTCCAGAGCAGTGGAAAGTGTTGTGACTGAGTCAGGCCACTCTTGGAGAGTCCAGGGAGAGCCAATGGCTGGAGGGACAACTAGAAGGACAACTCTGGGTATTACTCACAGTGGTGGGGGTCAAATAGTGGGTCCAGTGACAGGAGATGCCTTGGGTCTGATTTGTCAAGATGGTGTTCTGTTCCTGAGGGGGTGGGGGTGGGAGGCAGTACCTCTCTCATATAAGAGGAACATTGTATAGCAGATGTGACCAAAGAGCCCACACATGGGAGAGTTCAGACTGGGTCAGCCAACAGAATCAAGTATTGGGCAAGCATGTGGGGGCTATTGAGGGAGGGGGGCCACCTAGAGGAGGCAACCTCCTGTGGGGCCAAGCTGTTGAAGAGCGGCAGGTAGCCAGCAGCTGTCACTGTGGGCCTCCAGTATGGAGTTTGCTGAGGGCGGGGCGGTGAGCTTGGGTGGGGTGGCGGTGGGATGTGACGCTGGGGCCTCTCTTGCAGCCCCCTGAGCGTCACCATGTTCTGGAAGTTTGACTTGAACGCTGCCTCGCACGTTGACAAGCTGCTGGACAAGGAGGACGTGACATTGCAGGAGCTGATGGATGAGGACGACCTCCTGCAGGAGTGCAAGGCGCAGAACCGGAAGCTGCTGGACTTCCTGTGCCGGCCACAGTGCATGGAAGAGCTGGTGAGCCTCATCACGCAGGACCCGCCCCTCGACATGGAAGAGAAGGTCCGCTTCAAGTATGTACTGCTGCATGGCAGGCGGGCCATGGGTCACTGTTTGGGGACAGCAACTGCTCCTGTCAGCTCGGGCAAGGTGTGCCCAAGTGGCAGTGACACTCATGGAGGGTTTTCTGTCCAAGTCTGGGAGAGGTCTGCAGTGAGGGAATGCTGCCCGGGGATGCTAAGGATGGTTGGGTACATGTGTGCCATGTTCACTGTTAAGAAAGTGGTGCCCATGCCACATCTTACCACCTCCAGCCTCAGTGGGGAGGAGGAGGACCAACGCCCACCAGCCCAAGGCTCCCACCCTCCATCCTTCTTTTCCCTACTGTTAACCTGACTGCCCTCCCATGGCAGTCTGTTACAGGGGCCACACGTTGCTCACAGGTTACCACAAGTCAGGATCATAAAACAGCAGGGATATAATCTTTGGTCCACAACAGGACCTCTCCTCAGCTTGCAGCCAAGCTTCTCTCAGTCCCCTGTCCCCTTGGCCTCTGTCTCTGTGGGCCAGGAAGCCCGCCTGCCATTCAAGTTCATGTCTCAGGGCTGCAGTCTCTCTGCACTGTCTCAGCCTGGCTCCTTTGCTCTGTCCCATGGTCTCTGCCTCAGCCCCTGGTGCTGCCAGTTCCATCCTCCACCATGTTCGGCAGCGATTCGAATGGAGGCAGTGGCTCTTTGCGCTTGATGATCCTGGAGTGTCTCCTCCTGCTTCTGAGATGCTGTCTTTGTTCTTCGACCCTCACACCCCGTTTTCATGGTCCCACCCAGTCTTTCAGTGGGAGTTACAAAGACATGGATGGAAAAGCCATTCTAAGAAACATCACCTCACCACATCTGTTCTTACTCAGATGCACAGTGGGAAGTTACTCTACCAACTGACAGGGACAGTGAGGGCGAGGGCAGTTGGTGGAAGTCAATTGTTGTGATGCCTACAACAGGTGAAGCAGGAAGGAATAACTGTGTCACACACTGGTTAGAAATAGGAGGTAGGGAAAGCAGCTGAAAGAGTGTGTAATGAAGTAGGAGACGTGAGACTGAAAAGGGAGAAACTGTGGTGGGGCGGGAACTGGTTTTCATCATGAGCCCTCTCATACACTGGACTTGTTAAACCATGTGCATATATTACTCTTATTAAAATAGTACAACAGTTTGGTCTCTTTTTTTAATAAAATGAATAAGATGGATACTGAATGAGTGGATGTATGCATGGATAGTTGGTTGGATAGATGAGTGGGTGGGTTATGGATGGAATGGATAAATGAGTGGGTGGGTGATGGATGGATGAACTGTGTGGGTAAGTGGGTGGGTGGATGGAATGGATAAATGAGTGGGTGGGTGATGGATGGATGAACTGTGTGGGTAAGTGGGTGGGTGGATGGAATGGGTGGGTGAGTATGTGGGTGGGTGGTTGTTGGAATGGATGGGTGGTGGGGTGGGTGGATAGTTAGGGTGGTACAGTAGCCAGAGGAGAAAGTTGGGTTAAGACTGGTTTTGAAAGGTGTGAAAGGTTAACTATGTATGACGTTCAGTGATTAGTGGACTTTTCTGTCAAAGATGTCAAGTATACTAGGCTTTGTGGCATCTGGAGCAAGTCCTTGACTGCTGGAGGCAGTCTTGGGTGAGCGTACACAATGGGCATGGCCACAGACCTGGCAGGGCTCTGACAGGTAAGCTTGAGTCTCCCAAGTATGAGGTTCCATCTGCAGATCTGACTGAGTACCTGGCAGCCTCACCCTATCGTCTGGAGCCTGGGTGACAGAGAGGCCCCCTTTCCCTGAGCAAGGAGAGTGAACAGGTATTTTCCTGCTCCTGAGAAGTGGTTTCTGTGCCCTCTAGGGTCAGGCGGCAGCTTACCTTCCTGCTGGAAGCCTGGGGCTGTTCTGGGGCAAGTGGGTGGGGCCGTGTGCGACCCTCCTGAGCTGGAAATAACAGCAACCGCACCTGCCTACAGCAGCCCTTGGCCTGACAGAGCTCCAACCACAAGAGGGAGTTCCCTTCCAGAGCCAGCATGCTGCTCAGTGGGGCCACTGCAGAGAGTACTGCCCACAGGCCTGGGAGCAGTGGCCAGGGGACTCTGCGCTGGAAACGGGCAGGCGCTCCTGGCCTCGTTCTGGAAGAGCCTGAACAGCCTGCCTGCCAGGTTCCGGACCTTTTGAGAAATACAGTGAAAGAGCCAGCAGACACCAAGGTGACATTTTTGTCGCCCATAAAACAGATGTGGGAGAGGGTGGCTGATGGTGCTGGGCAGTGGTCTCATTGTCCCCAACCAGGGGTGAGCCAGAGCTGGTCACTCAACAAGAGGTAAGGATGGGCTGGCCAGCTGCTTGAGAGTCAGAGCCCAGCACACCAAGTCCATGCTCCTCCAGTGATCCTGTACGGCCCAAGGCATCCTGCCATAGTGTGTCCTGAGCCCTCCAGCACTGTGTGCTGAGGGCAGCACCACTTTCCCATTCTTAGTGCCCTCCTTGTGGTAGGGTCTTCTCTTAGATGGTATCTTGCAATGGGCCCTGGAGGCCATGCACTCAGGATCATGCATGTTGACGATGGCTCTTCTCCTCTCAGCCTTGTCTAGTACGTGCTGTTTCAGGACTCAGGGCGGGCAGCCTCATGCAGCCATTTGTACACTTCTGTCCAAGCAGCCTTGTGCTTAAAAAAATAACAAACCGACCAAAAAACAACTTTCTATGATGATGACAAACTGTGGGTAGCCCTGAGAATGGGAACTCCAGAATACTTCACTGTGCTCATGCAGAACCTAGACGTTGATCTAGAGGCAGTTATGCAAACAGCACAAGGGAATGCTGCATAGTTTAAAGTCAGAAAAGAAGTGCATCCCAGTTGTAGCCTCTCACTCCACTTAAGCTGTCTGTATACTGAACAAGTAATCAGAGAAGCTGGATGGCATCAGCTGTGGAGAAAGGCTCATGAGCAATCTGCTCTGTGTAGGTGATGCAACCTTAGCTGCTGAAAGCCAGGGACTTGAAGCCACAACTCAATGTAAGGAAGACTGAAGTCCTCACAACTGTACCAATGGGTAGAGAAAAGATTGATGCCAGGGGTCTTATCTGGCTTGGATCCATAATGCGTGCTCATGGAAGCAGCAGCCAGGAGATCAAATGACACTTTGTGTTGGGTAAATCTGCCGCACAAGACCTCTTTAAAGTGTTGAAAAGCAAGGATGTTATTTTGAGGGCTAAGATGTGCCTGATCTAAGCCTTTGTGTTTTTAGTTGTCTTATATAACGTTGGACGTTCAGTAAGGACTATGGAAGAAGAATGGATACATTTGAATTACCATGCCAGCAAAGACTGTTGGAAATGTCACTTGGCCAAAAGAACAGATGGATCTGTCTTGGAAGAAGCATGACCAGAAGGCTCCTTAGAGGCAGGGACGGCAAGACTTCATCTCAGGTACTGTGGACGTGTTGTCAGGAGAGACCAACCAGTCCCTGGAGAAGGACATCATGCTTGGTAAAGTGGAGGGCCGAGAAAAAGAGGAAGGTCCTCAACGAGATGGATGGACACAATGACGGCAATGATGGGCTGAAATGTAAGAACAGTTGTGTTTGGGCAGTGTTTTGTTCTGTTGGACCTGTCTGAACCAACTCGGCAGCACCTAACAACGACTGGTGAATTAAATGAAGATTTACAGCTGGTCATCAGTTTTACATTCAGCAATTCATGCACATATTGTTTAATCCCACTGACTGCAAGCCCCTTAATGTAACATCACTTATTCCACCTCCTCACTGTTTCCTGTTTCCATCTCCTTTTTTCTAACCCTCTGGACTTTGTCTTGGGATCAGTGCTGCCTTTGTGATCTTAAACGGTTGATTGACTGAGGTGAGTTCACTTTTAGACCTGAAGGATCATCGTCTTGGCAATTCCACCAGTCTCTCTCTGACTAATAAGCCTTCTCTTTTTTTATACTTTTGAGTTTCTAAATCCCCCTGAATGCTTCTCACCCCATCCCAGCACACCCTCCGTCCCGCACACACCCATCCCTCCCCAATCCAGGACCTTCTAATTCAGTTCCTGTAGAACAGTTGGTAGTGTAGCTGGTGCTGTCTCGTTCTTTTACTCTCTGGGTTGTGGCTCCATGTGTCTTCACTTGTCATCACTTGCATTTCTTCTGGACTGGGAAGGAGAGACTAGTAGTTGCACCTCAGATGGCAAGCTTTTAGGATTCCAGTGGCTGCTCACCAAAGACGGATGTATAACACTGTTGTGTTAGGCCGGGTTGTCTAGAGAAACAAATTCAGTGACACCCATCTGTGTGTAAGAAAGAACATAGCCAAAGGTCAGTGGCGTAGAAAGGTGAGCCAGGAAGCAGGAAGATTACTGGCCGGTGGGTGCAGAGTCATGTGGATCCACAGTCAGTGGAAACATGGCAGAGCGCCAACAGCTCTCAGGTTCAGTGGCAGAGTCCCAGCAGGCAGGAAGGCAAGGGGGCAGAGGGAGGGCCACTGCCAGTTTCCCCGGCTTCTGAGAAGACCACACCCCCAAGGAGACGTCACCAGGCTGTGACCCAATTGACAGGTTGGACTCCACCCCTTTCTTACATCTTCAAGTTGACATTAAATCATTTGTCACAATTGTCTTTGTAGACAATGTCATATAGCTTGACCTTGGTGTCCCTAAGACTGTGATCCTGAGCCCCCAGGCCCACTGACTCCCTCCCTCAAAGTGATGTGTCAGAAGTTCTCACGACTGCCGTGTGCTTTGCCGTGTTCATGGGTATATTGACAGTGAAGGTAAATGCACACACACTAGTGTCCTCCGTCATACCTACATCCTCCTGGGTGCGCCCCACTCCCTGCACACTACCCTGGCCCTTGTGTCTGTCTTAGCACCCGCTTCTTGTCAGGATCTGCTTCCGGTGACTCTTGCACTCCTCCTATGTCTCCCATCATGTGGGCTAACCTCTCTCTTACTGTCTACTGTCCCGCCCCCTCACCCGAGTTACCAAGCACACTTGCCCTTTAGCCAGTGAATCCTCCTGCCTCCCCTGGTATCCTGGGGGGAAAAAACCAAAAATGTTTCTTTTAGTGTGAAAAGCTTTTCTTCAATTTTTATAACAGTGGCCTCATACACTGTTTGCCCTTTTGTGGATGACTCAGTTTTCTTGTATAATGAATGCCCCCAGGTTCATCCATGTTGTGGGATTTGCAATATTCCATGTGTATATGTACCAAAGTGTGTGTACTGTTCTTCCACTGATGGGCGCTCTGGTGGCGACCAATGCTGCGACGAGCATGGGTGTGCATGTGTCTGTCTGGGGCGCAGCCCTTATTTCTCCAGCACACACACAGCATGTAGAGCAAGGTGCTGAGTCATGTGGGGTTTCTGTTGCCAGTGTGCAGTGCCCTCCACCATGCCGCCCCATTGACAACCCCGTCGGCAGTGGGGGTGGGGAGGGTGCCCGTTGTCTGCCCCTCACCAGCGTCTATTGTTGTTTTGACTTAATGTTGGATGAGGCCAGCTTTGCTTTCAGAGGCATGATGCCAGCATGGTGTCTGTCTATCTGCCCCTGGAAGAGCAGTTTCTTTTCTAGCCCTTTCTGTTTAGGATTGTCTTCCCAGTACCAGTTGACTATGCTGTGGTCTTTCCACGTGTTTGATTTTGGATGTCACCTCCTTCCCAGCTCTGCAGGGGCTCACTGTCCTCCTGCCCCATCACCTCGGTCACTGTTGGGCACCCCATCATCTGACTCTGGCCACCCCATCTCATTGACAGCAAGTGTGACTGGACAGCAGTCTCTCTGCTGCTGACCTGCACTGGCTGCTCAGTGGGACCCTTAGCTTCTCTGCCCACCAGGCTGGCTGACCTAACTGTGGGCTGGGCCAGCCCACAAGCCCAGCCTGCCTATGTGGCACTGCGGACGCACCTTGCCTCTTGTGGACTGCAGCGACCAGGCCTTGGTCATTTGGCGAAGGGAGGAGGGAGTCGTCCCCGGTGCTGTCTCCCACACTAGTCCCTTTGTCGCCACAGAAGCTTAGGGGGGCTGTCCCACTCATCTCTGATGAGCTCAGAGGGACAAGGAGACCCAGAAGAAGGTGCTGGCAGTCAGGTCACCAGGTCTGCCCAGCTTCCCAGAACCCTTCACTCACTGATGTGCCTGGTGGGATGTCAGCCGCCCACAGCTGCCCTGATACCATGGGTGGGTGGGTATTTTGAGGCCTTCTTCCTGGGTCAGTTGATGGCAAGGCAGGGACCCCCCAGTGGGCTCTGTCCTGGATGGCCAGCGTTTGCCTGTGATTGACATGTCCAGTGGAAAAGAAGCGAGTGTTCACAGCTAGTGGTGCCCATTACTAGCCATGCCTCCCAGGTAGGCCATAAATGGCTGTGTCTGTGTGCGTCTTCACAATGCTGGAGAGTCAAATGGAGGAGGAGGATGGGCAGCTTCTGTGGCGGCATGAGGGGAGATCACAGGTGGGGCCTGGTGAAGGCAGGGGCCCAGAGAACAGGTCTAGAAACGGAGGGTGTGAAGGGCCAGAAAAGGCATCTTCAAAACGTGTGCTTGGCAGCCTGAGGGTCGCTGGCTTCTCATTCTGATTTTAAATTGTATCCTACCAGGCAGGTGATGTCAGCAGCCTCCTAGAAGGGTCTCAAGAAAGCTCATTTCTCCTGCACTTGCTTGGCCTGTGCCCTTGTAGATATCCCAACACCGCCTGTGAGCTGCTGACCTCTGATGTGCCGCAGATCAACGACAGGCTGGGTGGGGACGAGTCCTTGCTGGACCTCCTGTATGGCTTCCTGGACCATGAGCCTCCCCTCAACCCGTTGCTCGCCAGCTTTTTCAGCAAGACCATCGGCAACCTCATCGCAAGGAAGACGGAGCAGGTAAACCCACTGAGTTGGCATGGGAAGGCGGCTAGTAGGGGGCTAGTGTACTGACCAAGAGATGCTGCCGTGGACTGAGGCTTTTAGCATTTGGATGAGAAAGCTGGCTGGCCCTGGATGAGGTGCCCTTCCACCCCAGGGTGAGTCTAGGTGGCCTTCATCTGGGTTTCCTGGTGGCTCATGGGGTTAAGTACCACTCAGGTGTTTATTGGCCATTTAGGTTTCTTTTAGGATGCTTCTGGCCCATTTTCTCTGCCAGGCTATTTCTCTTGGCATTTCCTGTTGATTTTGTGCTGCAGATATGCATGGCCGGCCTTTGATAACACGACTTTCAATAGTGCTGATAGGGTAATAAAGAGAAGCAGTAATTTCAATGTAGTATAATTCATTTTCTTTTTGTGATTTATGCCTCATACCCTACTGTCATGAGGACATTCTTTGGTATTTCCTTGCAGCCTTAGTTTTGACTTGTCCTGTTTTCACAGAAAGCGCCCTGCTGGCCCTGTGGGTCAGTCACTGAGCCGCTCACCACAGGGCAGGGGTTCCAGGCTGTCTGCTCCTGTAAAGACCCTACGAACAAGCCTCTATGAGTCAGAACGGACTCGAGGGTGGAGGGTGTGATGTGGTTTGTTTTTGAAACCACCTGGAATAGAGTCTTATGAATGGTATGCTGTTGAGGTGTTTTTTGAATTTTTAAAAATTAAAAATTAAAATTAAGCCGTCTACCCAGCAGCATTTATTATAAGGACTGTTCTTTATGTATTCCTTTGCATCATCCCCTTTGAGTGGCGCCCTCCGCCCCATTGTTCTGGCTGTTACTGTGTTCGTTGCCACAGCCTCTCGCTGTGTCCTGACAGCTGCAGGTTGTCCTCTCAGTTCAAAGTCAAGATTGTTTCTGACTCTTCTCTGCCCTGGCTTTTCTAGGTACATTTCACAGTGAACTTGCCAATTTCCATTCGGCCTGAAACCAGCTGAAATGGTGAAGACTGAAATGTAGTCTGCAGGCCAGGTCCTGCTGTGGCCAGTATTGTGGGTCACAGTTTCCTGGAACCCAAGCACACCCCTTTGTTTATCTCCTCTCTGACTCCAGCTGCAGCGGTGAAGTCCGTGGCCTGTCAGAGGGAGAGTCAAGAGCTGCAGCCTCGGAAGCCCACAGAGCTTTCTGCCCTCCCCTTCAGGGTCCTTGTGAGGCTGGACTGCCTTGGTGGCAGTGGGGCTGCTAGAGGTCAGGTGGCTAGATGGTGAGGGCTTACAGTCTCGAGACTGACTGCCCTGGAGAGGGCTGCGGCCGTTTCCTGAGGGTCACTGTTTTCTATATAGTGCTCCTGCATGTCTTCCAGGAGATTTATTCTTAGCCTTTTGATATTTTCTCCTTTCTGTAACGGAAATCGCTCCTGAGACTAGTAAAGACTCACTTGCAGTTTAAGAAAACCCTGGCCACTTTCTCAGTTTTTCCCACTGGTGAAAAAACTGTAATCGCACATCACAACCCTAGATCCTGATGCAGGCTGCTGATTCCACACAGGCAGACCTCCTCCATCCTTGGACAGACATGTGTGAGTGTATTATGCTCTCTGTGATTCAATTGCCTGTGTAAATGCCTGTGTCCTCAGGCTCCCTAGCCACGGCCACCCGTCCTCTGCCCTTCACGCCTCTTCATCGCTTCACCCCCCCACCCCACCCCCACACACACACATTCTGAAAGGCGGCCCTTCAGAAGTGGAATTGGAGAGCATGAAGATTGGTTGATGCGTAAGCCTCTGTCTGAGTCCCTTCAGTCCTTCTGGGCACATGCTTAGGGTGGAATTTCTGGTCATATGGTGATTCTATAGTTAACTTCTAACCTTTTCTCCTAAATGACATCTTTTCTAACAGTTTGTGGCTGTTATTTAGAAGGACAGTTTCTTCTTACATTTTAGCTGTACTTCCGTCCAGGAGCCCTGCTAGGCACTCAGCGGTTAAGAGAAAGGGCGATGATTTGAACCCAGCAGCGGCTCGGTGGGGTGCAGAGGGAAGCCTGCTGGCAGCCTGCTTCTATAGGGATTCCCACCTGGGAACTAGACAGGGAAGCTCTCCTCGGCCTGTCAGGTCTGCCTTCAGTCGGAGTTGTTGAGTAGCACATCACAACAGTGCCTGAGTACGTGGCTCTCTTGAGAGTTTATGTTTTTATCCTTCTGTCTGCATGCATGCTCATGTGATCTCTGACAGCTTCTTTGCGTTCTTCACAAGTCTTCCATATCTTGTTTCTTTTTCCGGCCTTTTACTCAGTGGGACAGAAGTGACACCGTGGACCTTTGGTTTTTAATCTCAGAGGAGAAGTGTTCAGCATTTTACAGTGAAGTGTGATGATGTTTTGAGAGACTTTTGTAGATATCCTAGTAAGATATCTGATTGAGGAAGTTTTCTTTATTCTTGATTTTCTAATTTTTTCTTGAGACAGGACTCCAGAAATTGATGAAATATCAAATGAAATGTTTCCACAAACTTTGAGCCTCTACTTAAATCTTACCTCAGTACAAGAATAGTTGGTTCTAATAATGTGACATTGTCTGATACTCACCTTCCTGACAAGATCGCTGAAGACAAAATGGGTGCATGAGGAATGTGGTGAAGAAAGCTGATGGTGTCCGGCCAGTAAAAGATAGAGTATCTGGGGTCTGAAAAGCTTGTAGTCAAACAAGTGGACATCTAGCAGGGAAGCAACAAAGCCTACACGCAAGCAGCACACCAGCCTGTGTGATCATGAGGTGTCAACGGGAACTTGTATCAGAAGTTCAAAAACATACAACCAAATCAATGTGAAGGGGCAGGGATGTAGTGGAGACCCAAAACCCACCAGCAAGATAATTGTACAGTCTCTCTCAGAAGGAACACACAGAAAGAATGATAAATCCAGGGTGCAGTATAGCACTGATGAAAAACATAAATAGGGCAGTGGTGCTGGGAGTCTTGCGGGCGCGGCGCCGTTACTAGCAGTGGGCAGCGGCGCAGGCGGCGACGGCACCGCGCACACCGCACCGGGCGCTCTAAG